CTCAGGCAATGCACTCACCTCATCCTCCCAAAGGCACGGGATTACAGGCTGAGCCACCGAGCCCAGCTTGACTAATGTTTAATGTCATGTATTCATCATGATAGTATCATACAGAATAGCTTCACTGCCTTAAAAACTCTCTGTGCTCCTCTACTTGTTCATTCCTTTCTCCCCACTGGCCCCTGGCAACCACTGAACTTTTTGCTGTCATCATAGTTTTGCTGTGGATGAAATAGCTACAGGTAGATGGTCCCAGTGAGGAAGGAAGGGTGGTATTTGTGCTGCACCATGCCCTGAGGGACAGAACCAAAGGCCAGAAGTTCCCCAGAGGCAGGTGTCTAAGAATTGCAGCAATCTCTAAGGAGCCCAGCTGCCTGTTGGGTCCAGGAGGCCCTCCTCAGGGGTTCCAGCAGGCACAGACTGTGCGGGCCTATCAGAATCCACCTTTCAGAATTGCATCAGCAATGGAGGCATGCCTCTCATCCCATGCATCTGTTTTGTTAAAAGAAACACGAAGGAGACCAGGCTTGGTGGCTCAGCCTGTAATCCCAGCACTTTGTAAGGCCAAGGAGAGTGGATTACCTGAGCCTGTGGGTTCAAGACCCACCTGGGCAACTTGGTGAGACCTAGCACACGCCTGTAATTCAGGCTACTTGGAAGGCTGAGGAGGAAGGATTGCTGGAGCCCAGCAGGTCGAGGCTGCGGTGGCCAGTAGCGTGCCTACTGTACTCCAGTCTGGGCGACAGAGTGAGACTCCAACTCAAAAAAAAAAAAAAAAAAAAGAAAAAAAAAGAAACACGAAGGAAAGAGCATTGATTATTGTGGAAGGTGTGATACTCAAAAGATTCCAAAGAGAAAGCAGACCTGCTGGGTTGTAATTCACTGTTGTCCCTTCTGTCATGGAGAGTGAAGGCTAGACAGGACTGATAGGGGGAAGTGAGGTCCCTATAAGTCCTGTTGAGCCCAGATATGGCAGCTTCGGGTGCTGGGAATGACTTTTCCAGGACAGTCCCTCGTGGTGGCCTCTGATGAGAAAACTCAGAGACCAAAGTTACCAGAAGACTAGACAATAAGCAGATTACTAAATTTGCCCCCCCAAAAGGCAGAAGAATGCATATCCCAGGAGTTGTGTCCTGATCCTGCAGCATCCTAAACATGGATAGTTGGGGAAGAGAGAGGTAGAAACTGGGAGCCTGTGTCCACCTGAGAGTACCCTAGACCATCAGCATGTTTACTTTTCTTCTGGAATAATTAGGCAGGTAAGCTGCAGGACTCTCAGCAGCATGGTTATGTTAGAACTTGCACTTGAACACAGTGGGGAAATGTACGCTGGGTTGTGGCAGAGTTTGGTGGGAGACAGCTGGTTGAATGCCTGTCCCCCAGTGGCACTTAGTGTCTGACATTGAGCCAGCGAGTTGACAGTGTGATAGTTCTGGAGTGTCTGTGCTTGGCCCTGTTGTATCAGTTACTTGGAAGAACACAAATGCTGCACTTATCCCATCGGTGAATGTAAAAGCTGAGTGAGAGTGTGAAGATGTTTGATGTTAGCAGAATCCCAGGAGGGCTCAGCAGTCTGGAGCAGCAGGCAAAACCTAAGGGAGAAATTTAACAGGAACCTGCAGAACGTCTCCAGGAAGGTGGGGTGCTGCATCCATGGGAGGGAGGAGGTGATTGATGGTCCTGCCCTGTGCTCTTTGGAATACACCTGGAGTCTTTGGTTTTGAAAAGAGCTCAGAGAAAGATAAGGGTGAGGAACAGTCTCCCAAGGATTACAGAAATGCTGGGAAGAATGAGGCTATTCTTTGAGAAGGGAGGGGTAGAGGTGTGTTGTGGAGAGAGGGGAGCACTCCGGGCGGCCTGTGGCTCCCAGTGGGATCGACCCACCCCGTGGGGCTCTCCTGGACCAAGCTCATTGCCACGAAGCAGATCTTGACTCTTGCTGGGGAATCCCTAAAAGCCACCCCAGAATGAGCGCCCTCACCCTATATGTGAGAGAGGCTGACCTTTGGGCCCTCCAGGTCTGTGTGGGGCTGATTTGAGCTGAATGGACCCTGTGTGTATAATTTTAGTCTTGAAAGAGAACCCACTCTGAGAGGAGGGGCAACCTCAAGTGAGCTCAGAAAGCCCTAATTGAATTGGGCCTTTTTTTCTTTTTTTCTTTTAGTTGGAGTCTCGCTCTTGCACTCTTGTTGCCCAGGTTGGAGTGAAGTGGAACACTCACAGCCAACGCAGCCTTGACCTGCTGGTTTTAGGCGATCCTCAGCCTTCCAAGTAGCTGGAACTACAAATGCACACCACCACACCCAGCTAGTTTTTGTGATTTATTGTAGAGACAAGATCTCACCAAGTTGCCCAGGCTGGTCTCAAATCCCTGGGCTCAGGCTGTCCTCTCGCCTCGACCTCCTAAAGTGCTGGGATTACAGGCTGAGTCACCACGCCCAGCCAGACCTTTATAAAAGTTGTATTAAATGCAAAGCGTATATCTACAAACAGGATGCCTTGCTTTCTAGCTCATTTCCCCTTCCGGAGGCAACTGTGTTACCCAGTTTCTTGTTTATCATTCCAGGGATGGTCCACGCATGTTTACACATACATACCACTTAGTTTTTATGTTTACGGGTTGCTTTGATAGTACACACATAGTATTACACCCTGTTGAATAATGGTGATTATTTTATATCCCTGTACTTAGAGCTGGATAATTCTGAAAATAGCTACAGAGTATCTATTGGGGGGGATTTGTGTGATTTATTTGACCAGTCTCATTAGTGGATCCCCGGGGGCGGGGAGGGGGTGGTTTTTACAGATAGTGCTGCAGTAAAATCCATGTCAGTATGTCATTTCACACTGGTGTGTGTCTGGAAAACAGCTTGCAGGAGTTGCTGGGTCAAAGGGTGGCTGTTTTTAATTTTGACATCTCTGTTTGTAATTGGTGATTCACTTTGCACGTTCGTGGTGGTGAACACCTTGAGTTCCTTTTCTGGAACTGCTTGCTCATACCATTTGACAGTTTCTCTAGTGGTTATTGATCTTCTTCTTATTGTAAAACTCTTTTCCTAAGTTTGTCATTTCTCTTTATATTGTTTCTTTTATTTGTTTCTCATGCAGAAATTGTATTTTCTGCCTTTGGAGTTTGGGTCTACTTCTTACATTTAAGTCTTTGGCCTGGATGAAACGTGTTTGGTGTAAGGAGCAGGGTGGTTCCTAGCTTTTGTTTTTTTCCTCCCTGCCTTGCTATGGATGGGGCTTTTGGCCTCACTGCTCTGGGAGGAGATGAGTGGAGAGTGGGTCTTTGGTTCCCCAGTGACCTGCCTAGCGGTGCCTCCAGAGGGGATATAGTCGCAGCTCATCCTGCTGTCCTGTGTGGCCATCCTGCCTATTAAAATGTTCCAGGCCCACCCATCATTCATGTCCCCCAGGCTACCTTCCCTCCATTGACCTCTGAAGGTACTGGCAGAATCTGGACAGAAGTCAGGCTGAGGGCAGGACCGAGAGGGCTTTGTGTTGCAGGCTCACCCAGCCACTGGATGAGTCACACCTTTGATGACATTGCCACTGGGGACCTCAGCTTAGAGCGAAGTTGAAAGGAAAAAGCAAAAGTTGTGCAGGGGAAAAATCTTTGGTCTGTGTTGCAGGTAGCCAGTTCCAGCTCTCTCCAAAGCAGCCTGCTGCTTTGCCTACAGTCACCTCTGGACCCAGTGACCCAAACAAATGACTATACCCACGGGGCTGAGAACCAGGTCCACCCTATGGGGACCAGAGAGGCCTTAAGAAAGTCCTTCAGCTTGCTTAAAAAGAATGTGCCCAGTTCTTCAAGGTAGATATGATGGGCAGCTAGATTCTTGTCAGTGAAGACCGTGGTCAGAGTGATGCTTCTCAAAGAGCGGTCTCTGGACCAGTAACTTCATCTGGGAACCTGTTCAAAATTCTAATTCTGGTTCTACTGAATCAGAATCTCTTGGGGGTAGAGCCCAGCAAATTATTTCAACAATCCCTTCTGATGCACGTTGCAGCTTGAGCCCCCGTGTGTAAGGAGCAGCAGCTCACCCGGGACCAACAGATGTGATCACTGAGGGACCGGACCCTTCAGGTTTCCTCACGCCCTCGCCTGCCATTCGGTGCCTCTGCAGACTACAGCAGCTGCTGCTGTTAGCAAGAGTAGGCAGGCTGCATGGCAGTCTTTGAGCTGGCTGGTGTCATGGCAGATTTGTATCCCTTCTGGGCAGTTTAATTGGCATGGGACACTACCGAGGAGTTTGTGTACAGAGGGTTCCTGGCCTCTCTCCTTCCCTCACCGATGGATCTGCAGGCCACTTACCCTCTCGTGGCTTCCGGCCACTTACCCTCTCGCAGAAGCAGGCTGGTGCTGCCGCATTTGTCCTGAGCCTCCTGAGGCCCCTTGCATCTAGGAATGATGGTTCTTTACCTTCCAGATCCCCTCGCTTGATGAACCAGAGGTTGGAGCAGGAAAAGCATAGTGTGGGTCAGATGCAAGGTGGGGGTGGCTGTGGACAGCTGGGGTCTCTAGGCTGGGCACAGAGACAAAGGGCCTCTGGCTTCCCGTTGCCAGATGGATGGTGACAGTAAAGATAAATACAGACAGACCTGGAGCCCTGAGGCTGAGGCAGTGCGTTCTCTGGCTCCAAGGTCAGGGAATAGGCCCAGACATGTGTGCTGTGCCCTTGTCAGCAGAGGCTGGGTGAGTGCAGCTTGGGTGAGAAGGGTGTTCAAGAAAACCCACAGGCTCATGGACTCCTGTAGCCGTGGGTGGGGCAGGGGACATGGGCCTGGCCCAGAAATCAGCGGGAGTGCTATTTATAACTGGAGGCCCTGGAGGCCCTGGCAGGAGAGAATAAACTGGGCTGCCCCTAGCTAAGCCTAATGCAGCTTCTCTTGCAGGGTCCCGGGTTGTGTAGTTGCTGTTCTCTTGAGAAGCTGACTCTGGCAAGCTCACTGGGCTTCCCAGGCAAAGCATGAATGTGTTTTCCTCTTCCCTTACAGATCTAACCATGAGCTACCCAGGCTACCCACCTCCTGCAGGTGGCTACCCACCAGCTGCACCAGGTATGAGGGTCTGGGGTGAGCTGGGAAGTAAACACCCCCTCTGCACAGTGGCCAAGGGTGGAAAGGGGGAGGGATTGAAGTTTTCTACTCCCGTCTTCCTGAGGTGGGCAGATGCCTCACTTCGAGGGTCTCTTCCTCACTGGGCTGTACTGGTTGCTGGTGAACTAGCCAGGGAAAGCCTGGGGCACTGTGTCCTCCAAGGCGTTATTAGTTGACAATTGCCTCTTGTCACCTCTCCTACCCTGGGCTCAAGGTACTTGGTTTTGCAGCAACAGGGTCCCCTTGGCTGAGGGAGGAAGTGGAGGCAGTTGCTTGGGATCAAATGTCACTTGGCTGTCACTCACCTTGGCTCCGGGGTCTGTGGGTGATAGGGTCGAGGCCACACCGCCCGGCCAGGTGGTCATAACCTAGCCCCCAGCTGTAGTGCTTTGCTTTACCAGTAGAAGTCATCTTCTCAGGCCCCTCCTGGTTTTCCTGAAATGAGATTTGGTATCCATAGGAGGAAAGGAAATATAAGTGCTCCTGGGACCAGGGAGAAATAAGGGTCCTCCCAAGGCTGGTCGTTCTGAGGACATCTGAGCTGCTGCCATTCCAGGGGAGGCATCACTCATTCCTTTGGAGCTGAGGTCCTGAGTACCAATGGCCTGCAGGCCATGTGGACCCTCCCTCCCATTCAACAGGTGAAGAAGAGGCTTAGGGAGGAGGTGCAGCCACTGCCCCATGCCACATCAGGGGCTGAGCTGGGCCACTTTCCTCTGAACCAGTCCGCCCCAGGTTTGCTGGTGCTGGCCTTGGTGTCCCCTCTCTCTAGTAGAAATCCTACTACCCGGGTCCTGCCACTGCCACCTTCGTCAGCACAGCTGAGCAATGAGAGAAGGAGGGGTGGGTGTGGGGGTAGGGTAGTGATTTAGGGAAGGATCTGTCTTGTACACCAGAAGGAATACTGGATCTGAAGAACAACCTCCAAGCTGCTGTGCACAGGAATGCATCTGCTGGGCCAAGGGGCTCACAGTGGTGCTAGCTGCCAAACTGCTGGCCTAAGTGACCATGGCATGTAGGAACAGTCTCTGGGCACCCAGCTGCACCCTGCACTAGCATTAATTCAGTCATCAGCATAATAATTTAAGGTACCCATTAATGATTAGCCCATTTTTCAGCAAAGAAAGTGAACCTAGAGAGAGTGAAAGCCTGGCCCCAGGGCACATGTGGGTCCTGCTAGTTTCAGAGAAGACTTTTCACCAGTTTTCTCCTGTGCCCTGGGGACTGGTGTCTGTGTTTTCCATGACCCCGCCCTGTCTCCCTCCATCCTCCCATCCTGCTTCTCCCTGCTTTGTACAGACTTATCATAGCAAACAGCCAGGCTGACAGGACCCTCTCCCCATGCCTTTGCACCACAGAGCTCCCTGCCCTCACTACTGCCATGGGCTCAGTGCATGCCCCAAATGATCTTCCCTGTGTCTGTCCTATTGCTCCATGAGAGTGCGCTTGGGAGGGCAGAGACTGCCCAGGGTCTTCCTTATCTACTTAATACCCCACAGAGGGCCTTGGGAGCGATTGCTGAACCCACCTTCCTCTTGGGAAGAAGGAAAGGCTTCTTCTCAGCCTTCCCTACCCCCACACCTACACTTCTCTTCCTCTGGCCAAGGGATGGGGCGAGACTTTCTCCCTTGGTGTTCTCGTGTGGTCTATAGTTCTGTCCCAAGGTTCTGCTTGGCCTCCTTTTCTGACCCCCTGGGAGCTTGCAGCTCTGCTTTTCCCCGTGTGGTGGGGGACTGACAGGGAGCTAAAGGCTTGGTGTTGCTTTCAGGTGGTGGTGCCTGGGGAGGTGCTGGCTACCCCCCGCCCAACATGCCCCCCATCGGGCTGGATAATGTGGCCAGCTATGCAGGACAGTTCAACCAGGACTACCTCTCGGGAATGGTGAGTCCAGCCCTCCTGCCAAACTGCCCTGAGCCTGCCTGACTGAAGGGTCAAGACTGCTGGCTTCCCTGGGCTCCAGAGTGGTCTGTGTGAGCTCACCTTGGATTGGAGCATGTTGAGCTGCGTCTTAGAACACGAAGACTTTCATCAGGGTTCTGCCGCCTGCTCACTGTCCCTCTCTGGGTCTCACTTTTCCCATCTGTAAAATAAAGGGAAGGGAATAGGGATGCACTGAATGGGATGGTTCCTCAGGTCCCTGTAGGGTTGGTGCCTTCATGAAATTTTTTTTGAGTTGGAGTCTTACTCTGTCTTCCAGGCTGGAGTGCAGTGGCACACATGGCTACTGCAACCTTGACCTGCTGGGCTCAGGCGATCCTCACGTCTCAGCCTCCCAAGTAACTGGAACTACAGGCACGTGCCACCAAGCTCGGCTAATTTTTTTATTTATTGTAGAGATGAGGTCTTGCCAAGTTGCCCAGGCTGGTCTCAAACCCATGGGCTCAGGCAGTTCTCTCACCTCGGCCTCCCAAAGTGCAGGGATTGTAGGCGTGAGCCATTGCAGCTGGCCCTTCATGAAATATTTATTGGGCGCCTTCTTTTTTTTTTTTTTTTTTGAGTTGGAGTCGCTACCACGCCTGGCTAATTTTTTGATTTATTGTAGAGATGAGGTCTCGCTGCCCAGGCGGGTCTCGAACCCGCGGGCTCAGGCAATCCACTCAACTCAGCCTTCCAAAGGCGCGGGATTACAGGCTGAGCCACCGAGCCCAGCCTGGGCACCTTCTTAATGAGCTTAGCTCAGGGCTGGGAAGGCAGTGGAGGGGATTTGTATGTGTGTTTGTACATAGCATGAGTGTGCATGCTGTGTATGTGTGTCCACACTCTGTGCATATGTACTTATGGAGGGCTATTCTGGTTGGGCCTGGGTGAGCCTGTGGCAGGTAGCTTGGACAGACAAGCTGCTTTTGTTGTTTTGCTTTTAAAATAATGTATTTCCAACCCCGGGCAACTTGGCGAGACCTCATCTCTTCAATAAATCAAAAAATTAGCCTAGTGTGGTGGTACATTCCTGTAGTTCCAGCTACTTGGAAGGCTGAGGTGGAAAGCCTCAGCAGGTCCGGGCTGTGGTGGCTGTGAGCGTGCTACTGCTCTCTAGCCTGGGCGACAGAGTGAGACTCCAACTCAAAAAAACAAAACAAAACGAAACAAACAAATAAATAAAAGGAGAGGAAGCTGGGCAACATAGCCCACCCCCTGTAATCCCAGCACTTTGGGAGGCAGAGGTGAGAGGATTGCCCGAGTCCAGGGTTTCGAGACCATCTTGGGCAATTTGGCGAGACCTCCTCTCTACAATAAATCAAAAAATTAGCTGGGGGCACGTGCCTGTAGCTCCAGTTACTTGAAAGGCTAAGGCGGAAGGATTGCCTGAGCCCAATAGGTGGAAGCTGTGGTAGATGTGAGCTCGCCATTACACTCCAGCCTGGGCAATAGAGTGAAGCTTTGACTAAAAAAAATTTAAAAATAGAAAATAAAATAAAATAATGTATTTGATAATCTGAAAACAAATGTATGTTTAGTGGGAACAATGCTACCAAAACACACACTAATTTGTGCCAGGCCCAGTTTTAGGCACCAGGGATTTGTGAGTAAGCAACAGAATCCTCAGCCCTGGTGCACTTGTCACCTACTGGGAAGAGACAGACAATGACATATGTCACCTGGGTGGTCCTGCTGAAAGTATGGGTGTGCCATGGGAACAGATGAGCATGTAAAAGGGGTCGAGCCGGGCTCGGTGGCTCAGCCTGTAATCCTGCGCCTTGGGAGGCTGAGGTGAGTGGATTGCCTG